GGAATGAAACACTAGTGTTCAACCTTCAACGTAATTTATTGGAAATGATCAATGTAGAGATGACATGTCCTTGCAATAATATCCATACCAACCCGAGCACTCTTTTCCTTAAGGAATTGTGGATCTTTGAGTTTACCACTTTGCAAATAATATTTCCAATGACTTCCAATACCTAGCACGCAATAACACATCTGGAGAACTATGCAATGTTTGTAGGATTCAAGGAAACTCTCCCAACTCAACTTGTTACCACTCAATGATTCAAAGTATTCACGGAGGAGCGACTCTTCCACTGTCCTCCTCTTTTGAATGGATATGCTTTGGGCAGTAAAATGTGAAAGATCATAGGAGCAAGGACCTTTGCTTAAGGATTGAAAATCAATAAATTTTACAGAATTTCCTTTCTTAATAATATTTTCCAATCTAAAATCACCGTGAACGGCAAATGCTTGATCATTTTGGAGGTACGAGAGCGAGTTCTTAATGTTGGCCACCAAATTTGGCAACTCTATTCTTGTGTGAAAATGTTGCAAAATGGTATCACTGTAAGTAGACCAATCTAGTTCCTTAATAACGTCCAAAAATATTGTCCAGTCCCCCTCAACCTTCGCACAAACAGTTTCCACCAGATATTTATCAAGATTTTCCTCCTTTTCTAGTAGCGAGTTAAATTCAAAGAAGAGAACTCCATTTATGAAGGAGTAAAACAAGCTCCTAACATTCAAATCAGAAAGATTGCTCCCAATTTCGAGTTGGACTCTCTGCCAATGTCTCAATATATTAGATGCATCCTCAATAGAGCAATCACTCAATTGATCCATTTCTCCAATTCCACAATCTTCCATTACAATGTAAAATAATTGCTCTTCTTCATTCAAATATCCACTGGCAAATATCTTTGGTAAGCCATCAACTTTTTTCTTCATCATCAACCATCTACAAAATTCCACTTCATTTCTGTATTGATTCTTCAATAGAGGTCTCATCTTTCCATTCGTACTAGCCAACTTGACAATCACACTCTCCTCTCCAACTTGTATTCTCAGCACCACACCACAAAATCCCTTCATTGTATTTACAATATTTCCATTCCTCAAGACCAGTTCCCAGGAAACATCTTCCCTCTTTTCATTCAATTGATCTTCAACATTCGATACAGATCGCAATGAATCACTCTTCTTGATCAATACCGTGGCATCATCAAGTAAGCCAGCATACAACCGCTCAATACAACTTTCCATTTTTTTTAAGGTTTTTTAAAAAATTGGCGCTCTTAAATTTTAAATTGATCAAAAATCGCCCGCGCTGTAATTGGATTTGGTTCTAAAAACAACCTCTTCATACAACAAGACTCAGCTTTGGCAAAAATGAGGCTTCCTTCTAACATATTGATTTTGTAAGCTGCTGTGCTAACAAGAAGCTAGGCTTGTGTTGTAACAAGAACAAAAGATATTTAAGTGAAGATGGGGTCTCTTCTGTTTCACAAGTGCTATTCAGGTTTATTTACAATTTTAATAATTTATTTACTTGTTGAGTTTGAATTTCTTTGAAGGTTTGGCATCTTGAATGGCACTTGGTCTGTATTCTCCCGAGATACCAATTCCAACATATCCATTTTGTACACTGAGATTGGTATTGTCGATGATTAATCCAGGAAGATAGTTGGCCAAATTGAAGAGTGGAATACCATCAGCAAGTTGAATGTTAAGTTGACGAACAACTCCTCTTGCTACAACAACATTGACAATGAATGCAAAATTCTTAATATCTATTGGTCCAATCCATGATTGTTTCAAGGTGAGAAGAACTGATGGATTATCAATTTCGGCAGTCATGTTGATGGTAGTGGCATTATTCTTAAGGGAAATCTTATCCAAAGAGAATTGAGCAGCAACTGAGACAGAGAAGGCATTCACAGTTGAAGAACCATTTAAAACTTGGAACAACAATTCACCATTGAAATTGGCATTCATTCCAACAGTTGTAATGTTAAAGTCTGGAACTGGTGCATTACTTGGGTTGCTTGACAAGACCAATTGGACAAGTTGATTTGGATACTTGTTGTAAAGTTCTGGGAGGTAAATCTTCAAACTTGTAGTATTGAGTTGGATCATTTCAGTTGGAGGGACCATTTCAGGAGTAACGACAAATGAAATTTGGTTAGATTGGTGGAGACTGAATAATAAACTCTTTACAACAAAGTCAGTAACGTAAATTTGCAATAAATCATTACTAGTTGGGCTGGTTGGCAAATCAACTGGTTCAAATGGTAATTTTTCACCGAGAGACTTGTCGAAGAATCTAACTTGAGAGAAGGCACCAACAGTCAAATAATCAACAACCTTAAAGATATCAAATCCAAAGTCGATCATTAAACTCATAGTTGATGACAAGTTGATTGGCATGATGAATGGTTGTTGAGCAATGTAATCATTGACTTCTTGGATCTTCAAATGAATAGTATCAGAAACAGCATTAGCAATAAGTTTGTTAATAGTTGATGTAAAGAGAGAATCGAGCAAATTAATAATCCATCCTTGAATACCACCTTCACTAATATGAATCTTCATGTCATACAATTCCAATCCAACTTGTGACATAAATTGTGGTTTTTCGTCAGGAGTAATTGACAATTGAAGTCTCAAACCTCCATAAACACTTTCAGTATTAACATCAGCAATACCAGATCCAGTCAAATATGGGAATGACAATTGCTTGTATTGGAATTTGGTAGTCAAAACCAAACTTGCTTTGGACATTTTAACATAGAAATAATTACCAGTAGGATCCAATGAAGTTTGAATATCTTGTCCCAAGTCAATTTGTTGAAGTTTCGTTTCACTAACAACAACTTGAACATCACCAATCACTGAAACATGTTGTGTTACATTAATTTGTGGAATGACAATATGATCCTTTACATATTGTGCAAATTCGTCCTTATTTTTCTTTATAATTTGATTCAAATAGGAAATGTTTAAAAAGCCTGCAGAGGAAGGCTTTAAAGGAGTTGCTTTTATCTTATTTGTTATTGTTTTAATATTTCCTCGTAAATTTGATCCGCTAATTAATGATGCACACAAGCCGATGATCATCATACCCACTATCATCATCAGCGAGAGAATAAAACTTCTCCCTCTATGATTGAATTTAAACATTTTTTTTTGGCTTGATTTATATTTGGCTTGATGGGCAAGATTTTATGGGATTCGAAGTCCGCATTGGAAATCATGCCTTTCAGGTTCAACAATAAATGTTATCTAAAACATGTATTATTATAGGTGAATAGGAAGAAGAATCATACCAATAAGACTAATTGCCATTAAAGCACAATGCAAATATCATAAAAATTGATTTCATTTTCTTGCATTTTGTAATTTGAATTGCAAAATTAATAATTGTCAAGTACATATTTGTAAGGGTGAATTAAAATTCTCTCTTTGATATTATTCAAAACTTTTCCCGCCTTCCAGTCTCTACTCGAATGGAAGAGTTTCATAATTAAAAAAAAATGTCTCAACAATCATCAGTGCAGAGTTTGCTGTTTCCCTTCTTGCAAACTTATCACTGTGGTAATTCGGAATGTAAATACTACAATGAAGAACAATGTCTTGATAGACCTCTCGGGGAAGAGTTGATAGATTCTGGAATTTCGACATGTTTAAAGTGTTTTTCTTGTGATGATAGTTTACTTCCTTGTGATTGTTGTACACAATTATTTTCAATAGGTGCTAAAACTTCACCATCATCTAACATGATTAAATTCTGTTCGTATTGTAGCTTTCCGAACGTTTGTCATCCAAAGTGGAGAAGACATGATGGATTTTCATTATCGGAACAGGAAAAGCTACAACAAATCAAATACATTCAACTTCAAATTATAGAACATTCATCTGGGGAAGCTACAATTAATCACAGTGAAAAGGAATATGGAAAACACTTGTTGGATAGTTGTCCTAATGATGACCAATTCACAATTGAAATGTTTTACAGATCACCTCTTACTTTTGGTTCTGCTCTGAAAACAACACTTGGAATTTTGACAGAGCCTAAGAAACAATTCTTTGAATCTGATTTTCTCATGCTAAAATCACTCTATGCTAGCTCAATTACTAAAGAGGCTAAATTATCGAAACTTTTCGAGAATATTGAAAAACATTTCGTAAAGAACACCTCCCTCCATTCAGTATTGCAGAACATTAACCAATATATTTTAGGCAATGTTAGCTTTCCACTCCTTCCAAATTGTAGTAAATTGAACACTATCAAAATGATATTTAAGAATCAGTTTTTAATAATGTTGGAAACTCTACGATTGGAATTAACCACAAATTTATTACCTAACATAATAGAACCACTCAATGAACACATTACTGAAATATCACAACTAACAAATGAAGGAAAATTGAAAAGTACTACTAAGATACCTAGACCACTAATCTATCCATTTGGATCCACACCACTAGGAGAAACCAATGAAAGTCAAGAATCTCTGTTTATCAAAAAGTTTGAATTGTGGAGAAGTTTATACTTTCAATTATCCACTATCATTAACTTGCTTTCAACATTCCATCCTTGTACAAGTGTGTAAATAATAAAAACTTCTTCCAATGATGCCATTGTACAAGTCCAATCGACAATGAATGCATGCTTAGCTTCCTTTCTAGTCATTACTTTGAATAGAGTTTCTAATAATTGTTTGCTATCGTTTTGATGATTACCAATTCTAAATTCCAATCTGTTTGCAAAAGTTTCATTGTGTGAAATTAAATTAGGTGGAATTCCATTTTCATTTTCAACCAATGAGGTTTGAACATAATTTCTAGCAACTTCATTATATTCTGTACTTGATGTTTGGACGTATAACTTGTAAATTATCTCATTCTTTTGTCAAGATTGACATTATTCCAGCATTTTTTTCACGAATTCTTCATCCGCATCTAACCTCTCTTGAATAGTATGTTTTGTCTTTTCACACACCCTCTCTACTTGATAATAAATATTCTTCAATTCCTTTTCTATCCTTGCATTATTAGTTTGTTGATTGCTGAATCGTTTTTCCCATTCTTTCAAAAACTGCCTTTTCTCTTCTATCATTTCCTTTAAAAGAATTTCAGATTGCTGACAATGCTGTTCCTGTAAATCTTTAATCTGAGCTACAATAGAGCGCTTAGTGTAAGGTCTTCATCAACTCCTTCATCATCTTTTTGAATATTTTCAATAAACTTGGTTCTAAGGATTTTAGCTTGCTCCACTATTGATTTCGGAACTTTCACAGTTTCATTAGTTTCAAATCTTCTATCCTCTTTGATTTTTGCTAATTTTGCTTTCGTTTCTGCTGCCATTTCCAGAATCTTATTAAACTTTTGTTCATATAGTGGTGACACAGTGCTGAACTTTCTCTTTTTCTCATTTAGTCTCTCACTTTCATTGATCACCTTTACACCTCGTTCATACTCATCAATTAATTCCTGAACAGTATCGTTTTTTGATTTCCTAAACAATGGATTGTAGCCACATTCATCTGATTCATTATTTTCAATTTCCAATTCCTTATGATTATTACTCCTCCTAGAATTTAATTCATTTTCCTTTAAATCCTTTTCAATCTCGGAAATATGTTTCCTGATTAAATCCAAAGATTTGTGCAATGATTCGATAATCAGTACTCGCCCGAGACTTGTTTGGAAGATCCATTCTCTTCATAGCAGCTATGTACAATCTGCTCATATTTGCATGCCATTTAATTAAAACAGAATTTGTTGCATTAGAATTTGCTGGTAAATCAATCACGGTTCCGAGAATTTTCACAAATCTATCAAAATCCAAACCGACTGCTTCATTGTTATTATTACTAATATCTTGTGATGATGAAGTTTTCATTCCCGACATTTTTAATTGCAAATGTTTTCATCGCAGTGCATTGGTTGAGTGAAATAAATTACAATAATGGATTTTAATTATTTAAGGTATGGAATAATGTTATCAATGAACCACTGCTCAGTGAATCGAAGATGATCACCATTGCTTTCTAAAAAGACCAATTTTCCTGCTTTATCCATTTCTTGTAAGCCAAGCCAATCCTCCTTGTAGAGTGGCGATTCTCTTAATGGAACGACACGTTTATCTTGTCCAGGTTGATAAAATTCAAATTGTTCAGATTCTATTGGTTGTACGAATGAGTCTTGCAAGAATTTCACCATTACAAATTTGTTCAAGCTCTTTAAATTAATCTTGTAAGTTTCATTCTTAATTCTTCCATAATTATTAATGTCTGGAAGGAAAATACACTTATCAATATATTCCTGTTCATTGAAAGGATCATGCCAATATTCTGCTTGAACAAGAGAATCTTGAACCCAACCCCAATAAACTCCAATATCCAACATTTCTCTTATATATTCGCAAACTGTATGATTGACTCCAATACATTTAGGTAAGCCATAAACTCCTTGATGTTGTCCTCCAATACTGATCAAATTATTAACCTTTGGCAAATTGCATCTTTGAACAAAGGCTGCATTATTAAAATATCACAATAGGTCAGTAATTGGTTTACAATATAAAACAAACCTCTCAAAAATTGAGATCCTTGAGAGAATCCAATAGCATTAAATCCATCCTTCAAATTAGGATCCTTCTTCAACATATCACAAGCCATTTGAACTTGTTTGTTGGCATTCATTAGATAACTATTCTCAACATCTTCCTCTATATTATTTCCAATTCTAATAGAATGAATATATGGTAAATTTGATGAATTAAATTGTGATCTAATCAGTGTTTCAATCTTTCCCATTGACTATTATTCCGATCCAATTAATAATTAAATTTATTAGAATTTGATCAACAACAATTGAATAATAACATACAAATGGAAAACAGCATGAATCACCCATACCATGCCACAATACAATTGGTTTAATACTATCACTTGATGAAGCAGCAACTTGTTGTGATTTTGGATTGATACGAACCGATAATGATTCCACCTCCGTGCTGATCATGAACACACAAATCACAACCAACAATACAAACATGAACCGCCTTTCCTTCATTTTTCTATTTCTTGATTTAATTCTATTAAAAGATCACCTCATGATGATCAATAATAGTAACTATCAGCAATCAAGCCTTTTATTGCAAATTTTTGTTCTAATAACTGAATGAGATTTCATTAAGCGAAAAGCAATAATTAATTCCTTGATGATATTTTTGTTTTTTAAATTTTAAAAAAAACAAACAAATATGATTATAAAGTAAAGCATTATTAAAATTTGCTCTTTTATTAAGGAAGTAATGTCAATGGGTCACTGAGAACAAGAGTGTCTGAATAACAGCAAAACTCCTCACCCAGACATTAATTTTAAGAAATCCATTCGTTCTGAACGTTATGAGAAAGGATATCTAATCCAAAAGTCCGTCACACGAAAAGAAAATGATTGGTTGTTTTCTTCGTCATCATCATGATGGATCATCTCTGCTGGTGATCCTTTCTGTGATGATAATTTCTTCATTATTAATAATTATTAATTCATCTGATGCTGCAATAATTTCTCTGAATAATAATCAAACAATTAATCATCAACATCATAACCAACAACAAGAATATATTTCACAATTTTGGATGAATAGTAATGTTATTCCTTCCTTATTACCTTCTCATAAATCAAGAGCCTCTCGTTTCTATTATTCCAATCATCATCAACAACAGCAAGAGAAAAAGGCTATTAGAAATAATCATCATCATGAAATTGTGAAGGAGTTGCCAAGTGAAAAGAAGATTTACAAGGGATTTGCAACAATCGACTCACAAATCAGAGAAAATGTTTATTCAAAAGGGGCTGCAGCAACTTCACAAGATTTCCTTCTTCCACGACCAAAGATGTACTCTGGTATTCAAACAAAGGATTCGGATCCATTATACTTTGGTATTGCTTGGAATGAATATGATAATCAACAGTGGAATATCAAAGTGAGAGAAAATGTTTACACTGAAGATATTCAATTTAATTGTTTGAAAGTGGAACGTGCTGATCCCTTGACATTCTCCAAGGTTATTGTTGTGGATCAATATTTGACCAATGTTCGTCTGAATATCACAACTGTAAAATATGGAGGTGTGAAGAATAATGCATTTGCTGTGAAAATTACAGGTGAATCAATGTATGATCCAAGAAAGAAGGAGAAGGTTGATGATCACATTGCTGTTTATTTGTACACTGGTGTAACTAAGGGAGAGGTTTATGATATGAAGACTGATTCAAATGGACAATTGGTATTACAAGGAGTTGACGACAGTTCTTATGGTAGTTTTAGAATGAGAACTAGCTCTGTGAAGGGTGCCAATACAGAAAAAACCAAGTGGAGATATGATAATGCGCTTGAATCATTCTACTTTGTAAATGAAACTGACAGACCATATTATGCCAAGCAAATAATTACTGACACGATCAGCTCTGGAGTTGGAAATGACTATAACAATAATCCAGCCTGTTGTCAAAATGGTGGAAATCACTTTAATTTATTGCCAAATAAGAAAATGTCACAAAAGAGTAATATTGGTATTATTCAAAAGGTTCTTAAAACACCTTTCGAATGGGTTATTACCTTTGATAATCCTAATGCCAATCCTCTCACTGATCTTGAATCATCGCCTGCCTATATTGACCACCTCTATGAAAAGTACAAACAAGAGTTTGAACAAAAGTTTGATGATAGATTCCCTGTCACTAATTTCATTAATACAAATACTCAAAAAGCTTCTGCTCAAGATTACAGAGAGTTTGGTATGCAAGTTGTTAGCAGTTTAATGTTTGGATTGAGTTATTTTGAAGGTTCAGGATATTTCAAGAATATGAGTGATCCAGCGAATCCAATTATTGTCATGAAGAATAGAAAATTATTATCTCTCATTCCCAACAAACAATCCTTCCCTCGTCCATTCTATTGGGATGAAGCATTCATGGAAATGGTTCAAGTGAGATGGAATAGAGAAGTATTTGAAGAAGTAACTAGAAATTGGCATTTTGATGCAATTCTTGATGATATCACTGGATGGATCGATAGAGAACAATTTATTGGAGAAGAGGCTAGATACCAACAACCCCAATGGGCTTGGTATGGCTTATCAAATCAAATGAATCCACCAGTTTACTTTATCACTTTGGAGAGATATTGCAGAATGTATGACAAGAATGTTGTTATTGATTATTTTAACAGAACTGGTCTCTTTGAAAGATTACAAAAGATCCTTGCTTGGTATTTGAAGAATCTTCAAGCTGCTGGAAGTGAAGAGTATACTTACAGATGGGGAGGAAGAGTTTTTGATGTTTCTCTAGATAGTGGTCTTGATGATTATCCAAGATTTATGAAGGTTCTACCAGGAGAGAGCAATGTAGATCTTCAAGCATGGATTGCTAAAGCAGCTCAAGTTATGAGCGACTTGTCTCAAATGTTATCCAAGCCAAAAGATCTCATTGATTACTATGCCTCCATATCCAATATTATTTCCAAGAATTTACATGATTTGTTCTGGAATGAATCAATTGGATTTTATGTTGACAGATCAAAAACTCTTGGATTTGCCAACCACATTGGATACATTGGAATGTTACCTGTTTGTCTTGGAATTGAAACTAACATGACTCGTGTGGAAAAAACAATTGAAAAAATGTCAAACTCTGACTATTTATGGTATGAAGAGGGTGGTATCATTTCTCTCTCCTATGAAGATATTACATTTGAAAGATCAGGTCAGTATTGGAGAGGAGCATTGTGGGCACCTTTTCAATATCAATGTGCTAGAGGACTTGCCTTTTATGAGAATAATTACAAGTTGAACTCTGCCAAAATAATGAGAAAGAAAATTCAAACTGCCTACGTTAACAATGTTGTAAAGCATTACCACGTTAATGATAATTCCATTGGTGCAATCTATGAGACATACCATCCAACTGATGGAAGAGGTTTCAATAATCATCCTTTCACTGGTTGGTCAGCTCTAGTTGTTTTATTAATGTCTGAGGATTATCAATAAATTCAAAACAAAGAAAACTTTAGTGAGACAGCAACTGCACATAAGAAATGAGTAAACCCTTGATTTATTCTGAACTATTACCAAGAGGATTCTTCATGAATCTTTTTACGCCAATCATCCTTCAAACAGACAAATGTAATTTCTGGGTGTGCATTTCTCAACTCATCCCAAGAAACAAATTGTTTAGGTTTGCTTCCATTTCTTTCTCTTCCATACTCCATATCTGACTCATTTGGTTCGTAATATTCAACAAGTTTAAGGGATGGTGGATGATTGATAAATGGGTCCTTAGTAAACATGCACACAACCAAACTCAAAGATTCCAATTCAGTCAAACTCTTCAACATGAGTTCTAATTCTTCTCCTTGAACAAAGTTTGGCATTCGTTGCCTTAATTCAAATCTCTTTAGTCCTGGATTGTTATTGGAAATTTGTTTGGAAATTGAATTGTCAAACTCCTCAACAGCAACAACTTTCAAGTTTTTGAATTTCTCTAAACAATAACCAGTAAAAGTTACAGAAGTATCATAAGTACCATATCCATAATTGTAAGTGAGAGGTATCCAAATATTGGAAGCAGAGTTCAATAGAGAATTATTGAGTGCATTATGAATAAATTCCCTGTAGGTTAATCGATGATTTGGAAGGAATATCTTGCCCATCTTACCTCTTGGATCCTCCACTTTTGCCTTAATATCATGTGTTAAACTATCAATGGAAACTTGTACTTGAAAGTTCTGTAAATATTTCACAATGACCTTTCTCCAAACTTTTCCACTTGCAGCTGAAGTAATCAATGTTCTTGTGGGGAGGAACGATAATACATTAAATAGAGTATCATCATCCAAAAGTCTAATATGAAATGCCGAAATTTGACTTGAAAATGGATTAATAAACTTGGCCTTTCTTTCATCGTCTGCTTTCTCCTTATTCAAACCTAATCTTCCATATGCACAAGCTCTCATCAAATAGGTCTGTTCTCGTTGTCTAGTGAGTGGCATTAAGGAAATTGATTGTGTGAAATCCTCAATAGCATACTTGACAAGATCCTTAGACAAGTAATAATAACAAAGTCCTCTATTGTAATAAGTAGATTCCAACAAATCAGAATCATAAACTAATCCAATAGAGATGGCATTATTAAAGAGAGTAATGGCCTTCTCATAACGAGCTGAATTATAATAGGAAATACCAGCCCTTACATATAATAATTCGAGTGAAATCAAAGTTTTTGGTTTTTCCTTAAGAATTGGCTTTGTTGTGTCCAATTTCAAATTGTGATTGAAAAAGTTCTTGACGTTATTGTTGAAATTTGAGGAAAATCTTGAAAAGTTTTGAGAAACTGTAATCATAGTTCGCTCAATTGGTTTTTTAGAATTAATTTGTAATTCAACAAATTCCTTTTCCAATTCTAGAATTTCATCTTCGGTTAATGGTTGATTATTCGAATTGACCAAAGTTTCTCTCAAATGAATTGAACTAAAGAATGAATCACCAGCCGATTGGAAATCACCATTAGCATATTCAATAGAACCCTTCAAATACATTGTGAGATAACTGTCTCTAACAGCTGACACCTCCAAAGCTTCCAATAAACTCCAAGCTTCCTTCAAATCTGCATTCGATTCTTCCAATCTAGAATCTTCCAAACGAATCGTTGCTCTCTTTAACAATAATCTTGCCAATTCTTCATTAGAAACTTTTGTTTCCCTCTTCATAGCTTCAACTGCCATCGTTGTTTCTTGATCCAACTCGAGAGCTCTTTCCATTCGTTTCTTCTTCTCTGATTCCTTCATCATGTCCAAAATCTTTTCATTATTTCCACGAATGGAATGATCAATCGACTCGGCCAGTCTTTTCACACCCGCAGCAGCACCAACTACCAAGATCAATGGTAATAAAAACATTGGAGGATTATAACTATTGGAAACCAGTTCATCAATTTTAAGCAATATTTCACACAATTTCACACACACACGAATATTAAGGTAAATTTTCATCATCATTTTAGCAACATCATCATGAGAACCCGAAGACACTTCTACTTACGCACCACCACACATTTTTTTTATATTTGTTGTGTGAAAAGATGGTTTTTTTCAGTTAGTACTGTTTTTGCTTAGTAGAACTTCATCTCTTTCCAAATATGAATTTTAACGCAAGTTCATTAAGGACTCTGTTTGACTATTGCATGAAACTTTATACTCAACCAAATATATATACAAATGAAAATGGTGATGTAAAAGTAATCAATCTGATAATTGTTGAACAACAACCTAAATGTTCTGAAAGCCAAAACCAAATCAATATATTGAATGATAATCATCAAAATTATTGCATTCAAAAACAATCACTGCAATATATAGAAAACAATCATTTGGTAATAGAGAAAGAAGACTCTCTTATACAATAATTGAGATGACACAAATTAAAGTTCACTGTTATCTGTGCTTTGATAAGAAAGGGTTTGCATTTTCGTATTTTTTGAATTCCTCTTACTCCTTGCATGCACGTTATCCAAACACATATTGTTGTATGACCTTCCTTTTAAAGAATTTATACCGAATTTTGAATTAATTGCTATATTGGTATATTGAATAGTTTTGGTGATGACCGAATTCATAAGATAATCAACACAAAATCATTGTAAACTACCAGCAGCACTGCATTCAGTCAATTTGTGCAATTTATTAGAAATGAAACTCTTCTTCCTTTTGTCCCTTCCCTTTCGAATAACAATTTGGCAAAACGAAACAAATTTTGGCGATACCTCCAGTTCACTCATCAGAAGATTTCAACATGAAAAACTGACAATCTCTTTACAACCGTCTAAAACAGCAAAATAAATATTGTCGTTGAAGAATTTCAAATGTTCCAGCACAAGTTCAGTATTATTTTGAGTGACATTTGGCAGGACAGTGATGCATTCTTACAACCAAAGCATGTACCCACTTCCTTCAGAAAATCATCTAAAATCTTCTTGTGCTCTCATTCTTCTTTATCAATAAACGAAACAGACGAATCTTGCCGATTTCACCCGATTTGCAATACAAAAAAAATGCTCAAGAATACACTCTCACTGCATCCATCAGTTTCCACCACCACAGAATTAATCTATTGCACTTCTCCCCCAACTCCAACTAGACCATTTTCACTTTCGTCCACACTTTCGTCTCCTTTATCCAACCACCAAATTCCTTCCTCCAACACGACCATGAACAATATTCATACCAATAATAACAATAATCCATATCTTCACTTTCACAACAACACCATCAACAATACTTCCATTCCATCTTCAAACTCTTCCAGCACCAGCTCAACTTCCACAACCTCTTCAACTACCATATTTAGCAGCAATCGATTTAGTTTCAATCTCACAAATCTCTTCACCACCTTCTTCACCTTGTTTCTCTTCAGTTGTTACTTTTTTTCAGTGACTTATCATTGGTTAAATTTATATCCAAATTCAGTTGGTTTTCCTTTGGGTTTAAAATTTTTATTTTTGAATCAGGAACCTGAGAATGTTTTTTCATTGATTGATCAGATGCAACAGTTTGGAAGGGATCATCAGAAAAGTTTGGATTTTATTCATGTTTTTGTGACAATTCCACTTTTTACATGTTTTGTGTTGGGATTGTGGTTTGATTCGTTTTTGAGTTCAAATTCGAATCATTATTCGAATCATCATAATTCATACCTGATGAAAATTGGTGTTTGTTTCATGATTGGATTGCAATTGTTACTGTCTTGGATGGAAAAGATAATGATTATGGTCTTGTTGGAGAAACATCCATTCGATGTTCGAATCATTGGAAAGAATCCACTGATGAGAGCTGTGAAAGATGTTGAAATTTTAAATTTAACATCAAAAGCTTCATTCATATTGGGTTTCTTGTTGGTTTTGGGTGGATTCTTGTCTATTCATTATAAGAATAATCAACAGCAACAATATTCAGATTCGTCTAGTTTATTTAATCATTCATTAGCATACGAAAGTGTCAATTCATCATCACAGAAGGGATCTAATTTTCTAAATTTTGCAAATACTAGATTTCGTTCTGCTAGTGCTCATCAACAGTACAAAGATATTCTCTAATTCTTCAGTTGCAACAAGAAGGTCATTTGGATTACTCGAGTTTCGAATAGATAGTTAACATGATTTCGGGAACAAGTGCATCATCAATTCTCACAATCTTCTAATTAATAGACCGACTCTTTGGAGGTTTACAAACATCGAGTTGCAACACCGATGTAACTTTCTAATAAAATTTAAATGATTATAATAGTCAATAATAATTGTATTTACAAAATCTTTGAAATTTACAGTTTTTTGTGGAGGTCACCAAATTAATCCATTAAAGATGTTGAATATTTGAATATTCGAATGTGGTATCCTATTCCTGTAGTTGATTTCACTTCGACTTTTTACACAAATATTTGTTTACAAAACTGCTAGAAAAGTATGATTTGGAATAATTGGTTATCATGTACTGCTATGTTAAAAGTTTTATGGGAAGTTTACAATTCATCTCTCAAAAATCATAAAATGTCAAATTCAAAAAACACAAACGAACAATCTGTTGGGAACAGTCGGTGCAGGAACCATCGGAGCAACAGTTGCAGGAGCCACGACCTATGTAGGTGTGCCACTCGTTGTTTCATCATTGGGTTTTGGATCGGGTGGAGTGGTGGCTGGAACGACAGCAGCTGGCATGATGAGTGCTGCAGGAAATGTGGCTGCTGGTAGTTTGGTGGCTGGATTGCAGTCAGTTGGTGCTACAGGTAAGTTTAAATTATTTGTTTGTTTGATTGATTGAATTTGTTTGAATTATATAATTGGGTTGACGAATTTCGATTTGGATGAATAGGAGCTGTGGCTCTTGGAACGACTGTTTTGCCAGTTACATTGGTGGTTGGTGCTGGAGTGGCAGTTGGATATCATTATTGGAATAAGAAGGGTGACAACACATCATCATCAACAACAATTGATGAAAATAAGACAAATGAAGAGAATGATAAGTTTGGTGGATCAACCAATGAAGAGAATGATAATAGTAATAATGGAAATTCGAGCAAACCATGGTGGAAAGTATGGTAATTGGTCTAATCTCTTTGAAATAATCTCTGTACATTAAATATATTCTTGTATTATTAAAATTATTGGAATAGGATAAAAAGAAACTATTCCATATTCATTATACTTGACTAGACATGACCACTCAAATATTATGACTCCATACATATATCCAAAAAGTTATAGGATAAACAATAGGAAGAATTCAGAAAGTGACAACAAGTTATTTCTCATCTTGGGGAAATAAATATTTCCCATCTTTTCACTTGCTAAAATGTCAGGCTTATTGAGGAATTGTTTCATGAGATCTACGTCTTGTTTACTGAATTTTTCATCTTCAGTTCTTTGTAGAGCTTGTTCAATGGCTGATTGAATAACGGATTTTTGAAATTCATTTGCAAAACTTATTTGAATTGGAAATCTTTGGAATGGAACTTCAAATAGAATGGAAGATTCATTACAATAATTTGCTAATTGTACGAATATTTCAATTAAACTTTCAGTGTCCATGTACTTGATGATGAGAACATCGTGTTCTTGTGTTGAATGACCTTTGAACCATTGCCAGACATCCATTTCACTAATTGGAATCATTTTCATTGGAAGAAGAATATTGGAAAAGTCTTCCTTGGCCTTTTCCATATATTCTATTGCTTTCGAATATTCCAATCTTCTATTATTGAACTCGTTCAATGTCTTGACATTGGAACAATACAATTTTTTCGACAATTCACTATGAATACCATATCCAAAACAATCATAACTTGGATAAATTGAAAATAATGTTTTGTACAATCCAGGTTGTCTAATAATCTTTCCATCACATTTTCTATGAATAATAATTGGTAAATATTTCATTTCCAACTGATTGTCCAATGTTAATTCCTTCGGATTGTTTCCAAATAGCTTTAACGAATCAAAAGCAGCACTTGTTATTGCATCATACTTTCCACACCATGAACTATTCCAAAATTGTTTAAATTGACGATTAGGATTTAATCTCTTCATCATATTTTCTGTAGAATTATTGGATTGTTGTTGTTGTTCATTTACTGATGATAGAATAGTTGTTGTAGAAAATGATCGGAAATTCTTGATCAAGAAAAATTGATTGGAAAAAAATTGATTTTTCGAGAGATGAGAAAATGGGAGGGGTCTGAGTTTTTGCATTTTTTTCTATCTTAAAAAAAGATCTCTAATTAAGATATTTAAATTCTATCAATACAAATCAAAATGGAAGTTCCAAAATATTTGATATGAAAATAATCAATGTAAAAGATGCCTCCCTTGGGAATCGAACCCAAGACCTCTGTCTTACTAGGACAGCGCTACTGCCAACTGAGCTAGGAAGGCCACATTCATTAAAAATCCCTTAATGAAATTGTGCTAACCATCATTAACAAAGATTAGAATTTAAAGAATACGTATTTGTCTTAAATTGTGTTTTTGTTTTTAATCAAGTCTTTCAATGGTTGAGAATGTTCATTATTTCGTTTGGAACTTTTCAAAACTCAAAAAAAATGCAACACCCACTCACAGATGTCAAATTTTCATTTCTTGTTGATGAAACATCAACAATAGGAAACTCGCATGATGACCTGATGGGAAAGTTTCATGATACTTTAAATTATTCCTTCCGATCCCATAAAAATCGTGCCTATCAACTTGAATGTGAATTGTTGGAGATTTTACTTCACGGAAATTATCATAATCATGTTATGAAGAATAGTTTTGAGATTGCAGATCCGTATCGATCAGTAATAATTCAATTGATTTCAAAGTGTAATATTGGTAGTGGTTGTGTGAAATTTTTATCGGATCGATGGAAGAGAGATCGAGAATTAATGAAAATTGCACTGAGTGTTAACGGTTATCAATTTGATGAAATGTTGCCAGAATTCCAGAAAGATAGAGAGTTGATTTTGATGGCAATTAGAAATGAGAAGCAATCGCTGGTAGACAAACACTCTCCAGAGAAAATTATCACACAAATATTGAGCGATTTTAGTGAAGATATAGAGCTTATGATGGAATGTTGTAAGAAGAAAAGACTTTGCTTTTATTATCTCAGTGAAAAATTGAGAGATAATGAAGAGTTTGCTGCATTTTGCTTTTCTGAATGGTGCGGTACGTCTGAAATGGATAGTCTTTCTGAGAGATTGAAAAACAACCGAGAATTCATCTCAAAAATTATTGAAATCAACCCAGAGATAGTGACCAGATGTGGAAAAGAAATTGTGGATGATGAATTAATGTTAAAAGCACTCAAATATGGTCTTTCTTTGGATCACTTGTATAACTCTCCCCTTTTGACAAGAGAGCTAGCATTAGAATATTCCAAAACAAATCATTGGTCCTATATTCCTAAACGATTTGCCAAAGACAAAGAAATCTGTTTAAATATTGTTGAAAAATATGGTTCCAGATTAACAAATCTGGATAGTGAAATGCAATATGATATGGATGTTGTTAAGGTTGCAGTGAAGAACTATCCGCACGTTTTTAAAGACCTACCAGAAGAAGTGAAGTTACAATTTGCTAAATCTTGCCGTGAAACAATCATTGATATTGTACATAATGATTCAAACTATCATCTTTATAACTATTTCAAGAATTACATGGGAGAGGACATTGATTTTTATGTTTTTGCCTATACCAAAGACTGTAATTGCAATCCTCCAGCATCTTTATTAGAAAATAGAGAATTCACTTTGAAATGTCTGCTACAAAATCATTTACGGATCAAAGTACCAGCTCAATATAAAACAGATACAGAAATCATCAATGCCTATTGGAATTGTAAAAAAAATCCAACAAGGAGAATCGAATGGGATTGGGAGATTATTCTTCAAAATTCTGAAATCACAATGGAAGCTTTAGAAAGTTGGTCCAATGAAGAAAAATTTGATTTAGAAGTTACCCAATTTGAAAATGCCTCTCTAGATATATTATCAAATAGAAAAATCATTCTATTGGCAGCCAAGAATGAATTACTTTCCAATATTTCAATTCTTCCAGATCAGTTTAAAGTTGATAAGGAAATTGTCATGCCAATGTTGAAGAAGAATCCAAAGCAATTAGAAAATACTCCTCTCAATCGAAACAAAGAATTTTTGTTGGAATTTTTGAAAGAAAACCCCTCAGTTGATTTGAACTTGGTAGCTCATTTCATTACACCTTTTGGAGATGAATTTTTACGAAGTGCCATTGAATTGAACGGATTACTTTTAGAACATGCCAATGCGGAAATGAAATCAGATAGAGAGTTAGTTTTGAAAGCTGTTTCTAATAAGTGTCACGCTCTAGCATTTGCTAGCGATTTATTGAAACAAGATTTTGAAATTGTAATGCAATCGGTTAAACAAGATGGCTCTACTTTACTTTATGCCAATGATTCTTTGAAATCAAACAGAGAACTCGTATTGGAAGCATTGAAATCTGGATATTTTGACGAAAACAAGGATATTGACTGGAATGATCCTGAAATACTTTTGAATTTTGCAATGAGTAGAGCACCAGTCTATTCTATTCCATCGTTATCAGAAGAAATTAGTTCTGATTGTAATCTCTTTGAGAAACTCTTGTCATATAATGGAGAAATGCTTCAATTTGCTTCAGAAGCTATCAGAAATGATGAAAATCTAGTTCTTCTTGCAGTGAAATCATCTTGGAGTGTATTAGAATATGCCTCTCAAGAAAGACAAAATGATCTCTTAACAATTCTAAGAGCTCGTCAACTAGCTGTTAGAAAGTTTAGCTCCCTAGATATGGCAGCTGATGATTGGGCACCCTACAGGCCTCCATCTTCTGTAACCACTGATAATGTATGGTATGAGAGAGTATCAGCTGATTTTGAAAAAAGAGTATGGACTCAATATCTCCTAGATTGTAAGCAGCAAACCAGAAACCCCTATGCAATGAATTAAGATGACAACAAAGATAACAAGAATCCCATTGCTTCCCTGATTTTCTAGCCGTTACAAATTTTAACAATTAATAATAAAATAATAAAAATTTATGATTTAAAAAAAATCAACTTCCTTTCTGTTCTCGATAGGCTTTGTACCACTCGCAAGAGCCAAAGGTCTGAATGTTTTCCTTCAAGCATCGATAGGCTAAAAATTCATCATCATTACTGATGCGAAACATTTTGTCGACATTCAACATGCAATCTTCTTCTTCCTGCTGTTGTTGTTGTTGTGGTTGCGATGGAGGATAATTATTCTCATCGTTGCCATCATCATGTTGATTCACCAAATATTGCCTACTCCTGTAATCCAACCACTTTTCATAGAATAATGGTGCTGCATCGAGTAATGATGTTCTCAAAGCCTTTGCTCTCCTTTTAATCATCATGGTAGAGAACATGGAGGTTTGCAATGGAAACTTCATATCGGAAAAGACAATAACAATCAGCCTTGTGGAGTGAGGACCCAATCGATAGAAGAAACGAACTACAAGAGCATCAGCTCTCACTTCATTCTCCGATTGTTCCAATTCATTGTTGTTATCACCATAGCTTTTGTGAATGGTTATGATGCAATCCAATTCTGCATCGTAGACTGTTGCATTGGTAGTGTAGAGAGCTCTGTCCTTCATCTTAATTCCTGCATAGTCAAAGGAGAGAATGGTCTTACTCTTTGTACAGGAGAGGGTCTTGTTTTGTGTGCCACTTTTGAAGCCGAGAAGGTGAGATTTCTCTTCAATATCTAATTTACATCTACTCTCTGATGAGGCATACAAGGCAAAGATGAAATCTCTCTCCATGTCCAAATTGAAGACATGTTTGTAACATTTGAGGCCAGTTGTTTCTCGCTTGCCAATACTAAAGTCAGTATTAGAGAGATAGGTCGATAGTACGGATGGCTCCTGTGACTCGTGAACCAATTCCCAGCAATCTGAGGCCTCAGATAGAGAAAAAGCTCCATAGATGTATCTTGGAGTGATTTCATCACCAACAAAATCATTGGATTTCATTCGAAAGTCAATCCTTCCCTTTTCGTTACTTATGGCTATACGACGGGTGAATTCTTCACCTTGCTCTGTTAACAATTCTTGTAAATCATTGCTCGTTAAATACCTTGGAAATTGATCTTGCATCATATCGTGCAATATGGAAAGTCGTATACCCTCAAAAGTAAACTCAGGATTAAGTAATTGCAGTATTCTATTTGTGGTGGTGTTACTACTTGAGCGAGATTCTTTGAGAGATGGCAGCGAACTCACACGGCTCAGTTTGCTTTTCATGAGATTCTCAAGTTCTTCATTCATCTCTTTGGCTTTTTGGATGAGGGTACTCGATAAGTTAAGGGTAAAACTTTCTAAATGTTTCTTAAAGAATGCTCGAAAGTTATTGTACAAATAATTGATATTGGTTTGGAGTGAAGCTTCCATCTTTTCAGTTTTGAAAAGTGCCTTCTTTCGGATGGTTTTCAACTTGTATTCATGCTTATATTGTTCGAAATCCTTAAGAAAGACAACTATTTCTTGACAATCAGAAACATTAATCAGATAACTGAAGAAATGTTCTCTGGCATCATCTACTTGCAATAGGGCATCAAACTGTACTGAATATTTCTTTGGGTCAAACTTTGTTGGCGACTGTTTGCCGTCACCAAAAGATCGATTCTGGCTTCGTCTCTTCATTAATAGCTTTAAAGGTGACGACATTTTTTTAAGCGAATACTTCTTACCACCTAGGCGAAGAAGAGATGCACAAATAATTCTCAAGCACTATAGCACCGTGCTATGATTACTAAGTTTTTGACACTCGTTGATAGAGGCGTGGGTTAATGAATCATTCAAAACTGGTCAATCGCCACAGTGTTTGGACGAAAAGAAATACTTTTATAGATATCCCAATTACTTTATTATTCGGGATGAAGTAAGGATTTATATTGGCCTGGGGTGGTATTTTCCCTCATCCCATCAACGCCAATTCTTTGAATATTTGAAGCTCACTTTCGTTGAATTGGACGAAATACAAATAAGGTGTAAAAAAGTGTTTTCTTTAAATAATGAAAATTTGAGTAAGGTCCTTTAGCAACGTGTAGAAACTTAATGTTTTTTTTTGGATCATGTCGTGTAATCCTTCACTCATCAACCTGTCAACAATCATCAAATAAAAAAATGTTAAACTCGGGGACATCAGCAACTGCCTCACATAGGAGGATACACAGTGCTAGTGTCTTTCAGTTCTCTCGTCCCTCCATCTATAAAAACATTTACGGACAAGAGCAAAAGAAAGAACTTCAATTCACAAATTTATCAAAAATCAACAAGGCAGCATGTTCAGCCGAATCAACAGTTATCAGTTGTAATCAGGACTTTTTTGCTTTACCATTCGGAACATATGGTAGTGTGATTAGTAGGTTTTATTTTGATGATCAAATTGCCAAATGTCATTTAAGTTATGAAACATTCAAATATTGCTGAGGATTCAAAAGTTAGAAGAGCAAATGCCAGTCCACCACTCTTATCTGAACACTCAGGACTTGTTCACGATCACTCCTTCTCTCCATTTCTTCCATCTGATGGCACTCATCTATTTTCAACATGTTCAGCAGATTGTACTGTTAAAATTTGGAAAATTACACAAAAGGAACAAACAATTCATGGACATTGTGAAGATTTACAACAAGTTATCACATTGAAAGGTCATGATAAGAAGGTCAATACAGGAGATTTCCATCCGAGTGTGAATAATATTTTCGTGAGTGCGAGTGGAGATAATACTTTGAGAATTTGGGATATCACAACACAGAAAGATATGATTGTTTTGAGGGATGATTTTGATGATATGGTTCAATCGTGGGATTGGTCTTCAACTGCATCAGTTTTATATACCTCGAGCAGAGATACTGTGGCAAGAGTTTATGATCCTAGAACAAAGTATGCAATTGTGGTAAGTTTTCTCATAATTTTCAAAGATTAATTTCATTGGATTTAATTTGTAAAATTTATTCGAATATTATTATGTTCAATATTGGTTTGGAAAATAATGAATGGGAAAATAACAGTCAGGAAAAGCTCACGATGGTAAGAAGGGTTTCAGAGTTGTTTGTACCAATCACGATCAATTTTTCACAGTTGGTTTCAATGGATCTGGATCTCGTGAATTTGCCTTGTGGGATTTGAGAAAAGGTATGAGAAAGGGTCCTCTCACAAGAGAAACAATCAATGACATGACACCAACCCAGCTCTTCCCATTCTATGATTCTTCATCTCATCTTTTATATTTGGCTGGTAAGGGAGATACCAAGATGAGAGTTTATGAAATTGATAGTAATTCAGAGCCGTACGTTCACTATTTGAGTGAATTTAAGCTTACCACAACCAATACTGGTCTTGCCATGTTGCCAAAACGTTTGTGTGATACGAAATCATTCGAGGTGGCTCGTTTTATGAAGTTGAATGTGGAGAGTGTGGAAACTTTCAATTTTTACGTTCCAAGAAAGAAGGAACAAGCCGACATCTTCCAAGAGGACTTGTATCCGCCAGTTCCAAGTGGAAAACCATCAAACTTGTCATCAGCTGATTGGTTTGGAGGAAAGAGCTGTATGCAAGACCTTATTTCATTGAGACCACCAGAACAAGAATCCTCACCAACTGTATCAACTGGCACAAAAATAGCAAGAGGAAGATCGTATGCCTTAAAATCTGCTCCCTCAGTTGATAATGGACTCAATACCAAAGCAAGTGATGAATTTTCGGACTCACTCCTTATCAATTCATACGGTTTCTATTTGAATAGTTATTTGAATATTTGGCTTCTCAAGGAGATGAAATGGAAACGATTCTTCTTTGCCCTCCACAAGACAAAGAACAATTCGGATACGAATAGCGTAATTATTTATGGTGAGAGTCCTTCTCAGGTCAAAACAATCAGAGATGAAATTTCCAATAAGGAATCCAATTTGAATAGAAATGAATTCATTTCCAAATATTCAAGATCCAAGAATTGTGGAGTGATTTTCCTTCACCAACTCGTCTACATGCACAAAGCTTACACTTTGGGAGATGAAAAATTCTCAGACAATCAAACAATTGAAGTCATGTACACAGATATTGTTCAGAATGACAATGTCACCCTATTCTTATCGAGTGATTCTGATGAAACTGTCAAATCATGGGTTGAAACCATTATGAAGCTCTGTAAAAAGAAGGATATTGTAAAGAACAACAAGACATTCAAGGGTTACATTTTACAACTCAAGGAACATGAGGATGATATTCCTGCCTATTGGGCAAAGAGATGGTTAAGCATTACAGAGGATTACATTCTCTTGTATGCTAGTAGAAAGGCAAGCGTGCCTGAGACTGCTTTGAAATTCCCATCAAGAAAAGGATCCTCCCAGTTCTTTGATTCTCTTTCTCATTACAAGGTCTATGAAAATGTTGATGCTTGTGAATTTTGTGATAGCATGGCTCTCAATGGAGACGAAAAGAATTTGTGTTTTACTTTGAGATTTGAAGGAAAATCAAAGAAGGACAGAAATATCATTTACTTTTTAGCAAATGATGATCAACAAAAAGAGTCAATCTTTGAAATGGTCGGTATCAATAGTGGAGCTATCAAGCTTGGTGCTTCAGAAGAGGAAAAGCTCTTGGATAAACTTGGTCTTGTTGCTCATGAAGAACCAGAAAAAATTGAAGAATCTGTCACTCCAGTCGATGAAGGAATTGGTAAAATTCAAGTATGGCCAATTTCTAGCTCTATTGCCAATGAAGATATAGAAGATTTATTCTCAGTCTTTGGTAAGATTGATAATACTTTCATTGATCCAAAGGAAGGATTTGCTCTTGTGACTTACCATCAAAAGAGTTCTGCTTTGGCAGCTGTCGTACTCAACCAATCTACATTTGATGCTAACAAGATTAATGTTCAAGTTTTGTCAGATGATGAAGTTTATGAAGCTGGCTTTGTAAAGGTTGATAATCTTAGCCCTCAATGTTCGAAACAAGATTTACGTGATTTGTTTGGAACATTTGGTACCATTCAAAAGATCAAACTGTGGCGTGATCAAAACAAATCTACAAACTTTAGTGGATTTATCAAGTTCAAGACAAAAGAACAAGCAGAGATGGCCTTAATGTTTAATGGCTCCAAATTATATTACGAAGAAATCAAAGTTACTCTTGTGACTTCTGAAACTGAATTGTCATCTTTCAATCAGGGAGATGATAAGGGTTTTGTCAACGAATATGATCCTAATGAAGTCAAAGCAGGAAGACAAAAAGTTCTCATTCAAATCAAGGGTGACAAGAAGATTAGAAGTAGAAAAGTTGAACTTTCACCAAAGAGTGTCAATTCTGGAGATATTTTCGTTCTCGATTGTGGAGCAACAATTTATGTGTGGAATGGTAAACAGACATCTCGTTTCAAGAAGGCCAGAGGTTTAGATGTTGCTACCAATTTGAAACTCAAGGAAAGAGGAGGTAATGCTAAAATTCTGATTATGGATGAAGGAAAGGATGATGAAAAGGAGTTGGAGAGACAATTCTGGAATGCCATATTTTCCGAATACAAGGATCCATCATTCAAGAAGGAAGATTTCCTTAAAGCAATTCCAGATAAGAAGGCAGGAGGTGACGACAAGGAATTCGAAGAATACATTGATAAGAGAACCATTCTCTTCAGAATTGGTTTCACTGAACACAAGTTTGACATGACTGCAGATCCAAAGAGACAAGATGAATATGGAAAGTATCAATTGAAAATTGTTAGTAGAGGTGGTCAACCGGCATTGAAAGATTTCAACTCTAACTTTGTCTATGTTTTGGATTGTTGGAGTGAAATTTACATTTGGGAAGGAAAATTCTCATCCAAGCAACAACGTTCATTTGGAAGAAAATTCGCTTCCAAACTCGAACAACAAGACAAGAGACCAATTTGGACCAGCGTGTGTAAAATTGTTGAACACTCTGAACCAATTCTATTCAAGGAGAAAATGTCAGATTATGCAGGTGCTCTTCCAATTGCTGTTTCAAGTGCAGCTCTTGAAGAAAAACAAGGCAAGGGCAATATTGCTGCCAAGAGAGAACAACATGAAATTGATGTTGATCAAATGTTAAATGCATCGATTGCTCCAAGGGAAGCCATGTTCCACGATGAATCCCTCTCTGACCAGAACGAGGTCTTTATTTGGAGAGTTGAAGGATTCGAGAAGGTTGAATTCGACTCTAAATTCTATGGACAATTATTTAGTGGAGACAGTTTCGTCATCTTATTCAAGTATATCAAGTTTAATAAGGCAAAACATATAATCTACTTTTGGCAAGGAAGAGATTGTTCTACCAATGAGAAGGGTGCTTCTGCATTGCTAACCATCGATGTTTCTAATATTGATTTGCAAGGTGGAGATGCTCCTCAAATAAGAATAGTTCAACAAAAGGAAACTAGACATTTCTTGTCCATGTTCCATTCACATTTAGGTTTGGATTCACTCATTATCAATACTGGAAAGTGCATTACAACAGCTCCTGAGACTATTCCAATTAGGAAGAGAATAGGAGGTGTAGCTGCTTCATCAGCCACAAATGAAGATCCAAACAAGAAGGGATTCCAACAAGCTTTGGAGAATTTGATTATTTACGATGTTCGATGTGTAAAATCTCCAATTGCTGACAATGAAAAGCTTGAAAAGACCAAAGCTATTCAAGTTGACCTCTCACCAAATGAATTCAAAAACGTGGAACAACTTTCCCGTCTTTTCAATTCTAATCACTGTCTCTTAGTATGTACAAAGGACAAGAAGGAATGTTACTTGTGGAAGGGCAAGTATCACAATCAAAAGGAGCTCGAACTCGCTGCTCACATAGCATTGGATGTGTTAAAATTACCATCCAAACTTATTTCAGTAGATGAAGGAGCAGAAAAGGATGCCTTGTGGAAATTATTTGGTTTGACTGGACTTTCTGCAGCACCAATCAAGAAGTACATCAAATCTCAATCAGACAATATCAAGAAGAGAATAGTTCCTAAATTGTATCAATTTTCTGGAGCTACAGGTGTTGTTGATGTTGAAAGAATTTACAATTATAGTCAGGATGATTTGGATATATTTGGAGTTTTCTTCCTCGATGCCCAGGAAGCTGGTTGCTTCGTTTGGTTTGGATCTTACTCTCAACATCATGTTCAAAAGGTAGCACTGGAAACAGCCATGAAATACTGTGTGAAACATTACAATAATGGTGAAATGCTTTTACAAGTGACACATACCTGTCAAGAACCTAGCTCATTCAAGACTGCCTTCCATGCTTGGTCTTCCTATCGTGACAAGTACATTGTCAATTATTCTAACAATAATCCAAATGTTGTAAATAAGGAAGTTGTCATTCCTGCCATGGATATGATCAAGGAATATGCAAGAAAGACCTATTCCTACAAGACCCTACTTTCAGAACAATTACCAGCAGGAGTTGATGCCACCAAATTGGAAGAATATTTGAGTAGTGAGGAGTTCCAAATGGTTTTCAATATGGGTAGAGAGGAATTTGCAAATCTTTCCAAGTGGAAACAAGAATCTGAAAAGAGAAAGGTCTACTTGTTCTAAATTCATTATTAAAAATCTTTCAAACTCTGGTGTGAGAACAAACAAATTATAAAATTTTATTCTTATACGAAACACAAATGAACCAAAACACAAACTATTTATTGATTCAATAATAGTTACTATTTGGAGAAACACATTATTTTACAACTCCAAACCAATAACCATTTCAGCAACTACTCAAGAAGTAAATTAATTTTCCTTGATATCATAAACATGTTCAACACCCATAGCAGAGATGGTATAAACAGTGAATGTCTTTGCATCACCACCTTCCATAGCTGCTTTAAACTTTTTCAACAAGTTCTTGTCCTTGATTTGCAAATCAGTCTTTTCTTGACCTTCATCATTCATCAAATTCAAGTAACCGTCCTCCTCATTGAAATCAATGAATTCATACTCCTTCTTGGTAACGAATGGAGCATAGATGGTCAAATCAGTTGGATGAATGGCTTCATACTTTCTTCCAGTGAAGATATCAGATGCTGTCAAGTGCATCTTTGAGCTACCATGTTTACCTGGCTTGGAGCAGGCAAAATCGATAACTTTGCAAGGAAATCCTTGAATTATTACATGTGATCCTTTCTTAATATTTCCGACTTGGATTGGATGAGTTTGGCTCATTAAAATTCTGAAGAGTTTAATTGATGATTGAGAAAACTTGTTGTTTTGCTTTTTTTTGTTTGAAAATTATCATTTCTGCTGCAAATTGAGAAATTTATAGAGAAATTTGAGTTTTTTCTGATTGGATGCTTGAAATTTTCATTGTAAAGTGGGGTGACGTGTTCTGTGATCGAAGTTTGTTGTATTTTTGGAGCTAGTTGAGGAAGTGTGTGGGATAATTACATGAAACTATTGAAGTACATTTTTGAAAATGCACATTTTGTGGATTTTTGAAAATGCATTTTGTAAAGTGGGGTGACGTGTTCTTTTTGATCATATTTTTAGTTGAATGGAAGGGAAAATTGAGGATTTTAATGAAACCAAAAGAATGGGCGAGAAAATTGATTGTAATTGATATCTTTGTTCAAATTATTAGACAAGATTCGAATAAATTTTTTTTTGAATATTTGAAATAAAAAAGAAAGTTTTCAATACTTTCTTTTCATTCCATCGTGAACTATTCTTGATTATTCAACCTAATCTTTACAATAGCCTCAAAGTTTCTGAAAGAGAGAAAGTCCAACACCCATTCATGTTCCTTCCATTTTTATTTCATTCTATCATTAACTTTCCAATGCACTCTGATCTGAATTCTTATGATGACCTCTTTGAAATATTAAACATTGTTTCAATTTCACTTTTTTCTTTCAACACCTTTCTTATTCGAAAGTGCCCATAATTAGTCAAAATGCTCATCGCTGCAAATAAGTCCAAATATTGATTGGCACCCTTCAACCATCATCTTGAGAAAAAAAATGTCACAACCTTCACCTCTTCTCATTGGCTCAGCTGCATTGTTGGGTGTTAGTGGTTTAGTTAATGGATTGTTGTTTATGAAGAATGGAGAATTACAGAAGAAACTTGAGCAATCAACAAGTACTACAAAGAAACATGATGCTTCATCGTATGGTAAGTTGTTTATTATTTGTTTTGTGTGTTATCTAAACGACCATATGTTTATTCGAATACTTTCGAATATTTATTCATCACCATATGTGTTTTATTTTCGAATATTTATTCATCACCATGGTGAATTATCGGGTTGAACAACATAATATAGAACAAATTGAAAAATTGGAGAAGGATTTGGAACAATTAAAAACACTCATCAAGGAAAAGGAAATTCTTCTTCAACAAACTACCAAGGAAAAGGACAATGAATTGAAAAGCATTCAAGAAAATTATAAAACCAAAATGGAAAAGTTGAATCAAGAGAATTCTCTTCATCTTTCCAAATTAGAAAGTGAAAAGAGTTTGGCAATTAAAGAATTACAAAACAAGACACAATTAGAGATTACCAATCTCAAGAATTTACTTGAAAAGGAAAAACACGATCACACTCAATATGTTAAACAAAATACGTTAGAATTAGAAAATGTTTTAAAGACAAAATTGAAAGAACAAGAAGTTCTCAATTTGGAAATTAACAAATTAAAGAAACGTGAAGTAGAATTAGAATCAGAATTCAATGAAAAGAATGAACAAATTACAAGTCTTGACAATCAATTGAATAATGTTAAGAATTTATATTCTGAGAGTATGAAACGTATTCAAGGTATTACCTCTGATTCAATGCAAAAGAAGGAACATGAAGTGACTAAATTGAGAGAACAAGTTGAAGAAAAGGAGAAACAAGTTGAAGATTTGTTGAGTGAAAAGAAGAACCTTGAAAATGAATTGAGTGAAAAGAATGAAAGAATAACACAACTTGAACAATCAGTTTCTTCAAATAATTCACAAATTGACAATATCGGTACTACTTTAGAAAACTTGAAACACATTCTCACTGATAAGGATTCTATCATTAATGAAAAGGAAAGTGAAATCAAGCAAAACAGTGAAAAGATTTCAACTCTCTTGAAGGATACCTCACAATTAGAATGTCAATTTACTGAAACTATCAATAGTTTAAAGAAACAAATTGAAGATTTGATGACCAAGTCAAGCACTCTCGACAATGAACTCCAACAATCAAGAGAAGTTGTCTCCCAAACTGAAAAGGAACTTCAATCCAGCGTCAAAAGATCAGAAGGATTGTTGATGGAAATTAATCAACTCTCCAATGAGAAAGCAACTCTCCTCTCCGATAAGGATTCACTCTCTGAACAATTGGAAGCTGTCAAGAAGCAATTCGAACAAGTTTCCTCAAAACTCCAACAAGTTCAACAAGATTTGGAAAAGAAAACCGAAGAAGAAAAGAAGACTGTCTCTGAATTGAATGATACCATTAACAAGGTTAATAATTCTCTCAATGAAAAGGTCACTGAACTCTCCTCCCTCTCGACAACACTCTCACAAAAGGAAAAGGAAATTTCCGAACTCAAATCACAAGTTGAACAATTGAATAATCAAATGGCCTCAAAGGAACAATCAATTTCTCAATTGCAAACTCAACTTGAAACTCTTTCATCTGAATCTTCTGCATCAATCAAGAGTCTCACTGAAGAAAAGCAAAAGGTTGAACAAGAATTGTCTTCATTGAAGGTTCAATTGACTAATGCTTCTGATGAAGTAAACAAGGAACACACCTTGTTGGAAAATTATAAGAAGGATTTGGAACAAAAGCAAACAGAAATTAACAAGAAAACCGAAGAAATTTCCACATTGACCAATTCACTCAATCAATTAAAGAAGGAAAGCGAAGAAAAGATTCAGAACCTCGATCAATCAATTTCATCACTCAATGAAAAGGACGTCAAATCTCAAGAAACCATTCAATCCGTCACTGAACAACTCAACACAGCAAAGAACTCTCTTGAAACCTCACAACAAGAAGCTCAACAATTGCAAGCTACCATCAAATCCCTTGAAGAATCCAAAGAACAATTGCAAAACCAAATTCAATCTTTGAATGATCAAGTTCAAAACAAGGATTCTGAAATTCAATCCTTGAAGAACTCTTTGGCTAATTTGGAAAAGGAGAAACAAACTCAAAGCGAAGAATTGAGCCAAACATCAAAGAAGGTCACTCAATTGGAAGAAGAATTAAAACAAGCCAACTCTTCTATTTCAGACATCTCCAAGAAGCTCGATTCTACACAAGAAGCTGAAACTCAAAAGACCCAAAAGGTTAGCGAATTGGAAAGTCAAATCAAATCTTTGCAAGATGCTGCCAATAATCAATCCAAGGAAATTTCTGATTTCACTGAACAAGTCAACTCTGTAAAGAAGCAATTATCTGAAAAGGAATCTGAATTAGGAAAGGTTTCGGAACAAGTTTCTTTATTGACTGCTGAACTTGCCAAATACAAGCAAGACCTCTCTGAATCCTCTTCATCATTGGAATCAACCAAGCAACAATTAACAACTGCCACAGAAACGATTGCAACCCTTGAAACTCAAGCTGGAGAATTGAAAGATTTGGTTTCTCAAAAGGAATCTGCTGCCCAATCCTTGACTGAACAACTCGAAAAGGAAAAGCAACAATCTACTCAAGCACTCGCTGAAGCTTCTCAAACAAAGGATGCTGAAATTCAAACTCTTAAGGAATTAGTCAACCAAAAGGAAACTTCCAACAGCCAAGTTTTGCAAGAATTACAAGAAAAGACAGAAACAATCGCCAAGATTGAAAACCAAATTAAGGAATTGGAATCAAAACTTACTGCCTCCACTCAACAATTCACCGAATTGCAAAGCAAGAAGGAAGAATCTGAAAAGACTGTCCAGAAATTAGAATCCGAAGTCCAAACTCATTTGAGTACAATTAACGACTTGAAAAAGTCCATGAAAGAAAAGCAAACTCAAATCACTGAATTGGAATCAAAGGTCAAACAATCGAATAGCAACAATAACAATAATGGAAAGAAGAAGAATAATGGAAAGGGAGGAAATAGCAGTAATCACGATAATGAAGTTCAACAACTCCAAAAGGAAAACAACAAGTTGAAACACGAATCAGAGGAGAAAATTACCCAACTCTCCAAGACAATTTCTGAACAAACTGAACAACAAGAAAAGAAAGAAAAGGAATTCAAAGAACAATTGGAAGCCCAAGAAAAGACCAAACAAGAAGAAGTTGCTGCTCTCAAGAAGATCATTGAAGAATTGCAATCCAAGTTGAAGAATTCAAGTACAAGTACTAGTACCACTCACCAACCTAAAATCACATTGACCGAATCATCTGATGCCTTAGATAAGCTCATCCACAAGTTGCAAAATGATAACGTTGAAACTATTGATATTTTCGTACCATTGATTGATAGTGGATTCCTTGAAACTCTTTCTGATTTGCCAAGAGAAAAGATTAGTCTCTTATTCGAATCCTTGAATAATACTCCTTCATTGAGATCGATTATTTTTGATGGATGTGCTCTCACTCAAGAAGATATGACAAGTTTGCTTCAAACTCTCTCCACTAACAAGACAATGACTACCTTGGATATTTCAGATGAATTCAAGGGAGATGAAGTTTTAGATGCCTTATGCTCTTTCATTTCAACAAATGACACTTGTAAGAGTCTCAAGATTAGAGATTGGAAATTCGAAGCCAGCTCTCTCCACAAACTTGCCACCACCATCCAAGAATCTACTGAAAAGGGTGTTTGTAAGCTTAGTACTTTAGAGTTTGATCCAACCCTTGAATCTGTTATGACCGATGACGATTTGGAATTAATCAATTCTGCCCTTAAATCTAATCAATAAATAATTTTATCAAAAATTTCTCTATCAAGTTATAAATCTTATTTAACAATAATTTGGTTGAGCCAATTTTCAATATCCAACTTGACCTTTTCTGATTGCATGTCATTGAGAAGATCCAACATACTCTTATCATAGTCAATTACTTTTCTTTGGCAATCAGGACAATTTCTCTTGGAAAGATATTCGATACGTCTAAGGTTTGCAATTGGCGTCACATAATCATATACTCCGTGCAATAAGAGAATGTTTGGATTTTTTAAATTGGTCAATGTTTCACCTTGATTCACTTTTTCCAATAAATCCAAAATAGTTTTTGCTGTTGTAATGGTCCACATGTCTGGATTGACCATCAATTCAACACCACCAACTCCCTTAATGGAATATCTAGAATCAGATCTGATACTCTTATGAACTTCTTCATAACTAGAGAAGTAGATAAAACTATTGATGAGGTTATACAATTGTGTCTCTGCAAAAATTGAGGCTCCTGAATATCTGAGTTTGTCTGATGTGAGCTTCTTTATACGCTTTGCGACTCTGCATGTATAATTGAGAGGAGGTAAAAGACTTCTGGCTGGATAGGAAGGCACATAATGGAGTGTCATTCTCATGAGTACATCCTTGTGTGGTGGTAATATTTTTCCTGGGGCCTTATCAAAAGAACGTTCATCTGTATATTGAGTTGATGTAATGGAAGGAAGAGAAACGAATGTGAGGCCATCGATTTTGTGTTTGTTAGGATAGGATGTTTCATAGTGGAGTGTAATCAATGATCCGAGAGATTCTGAAATGACAACAATTGGAACTTGACCAATTTCTAAATTTTCCTTCAAATTGTTCATTCTTTCACCAACAACTTGATGGAAATCATTCAAATATTCGAATGCTGTAGAATTACTACTGGAAACAATGAAGCAACGTGGGCCTGATGATTTTCCAGATCCTCTCATATCATATCTATAAATTATAAATCCATTCTTCAATATTAATGACTTTTCAATCCATTCACTCTCCTCAGCTTCATCAATAATTGCTCCTTGGTGTGAACCAATGTTGTGAACAAATATAATAATACCATTTACACCTTTTTCTTTGTAATTTTCAGAATATTTAACTCTTTCATAAATATAGCTGGATGAATCCGATGAGAGAAATCTTCCAGAATCCTCTATAACTCTTTCCACTGATCCACTTTCACTTTTCACTTCAATCACTTGTTTTGATTTCATAAATTTATCCAATTCCGAATCAGCACTCTTCTTCTTCAACAAATTTAATTGACTATCAAAATAAGGATCAGCATCATATGGTGGTAGTTGACTATATTGAACATAGAGAAGAGAAAAATAGGCTAACAATATGAATGGTAAACTAAGTGCAGAAAATCTAATAACACTAAACCAGAGAGTTGACCTAGCACTTTCCTGTGGAACATTCTGAGTTGTTTTTTTAGCTTTTGTGGTTGATGATTTAGTATCTGCAGTCTCTGATTTTCCGTTTGTTGTTGTTGTTGCCAAAGATGTTGAGGCTTTATCGGAAGCAGCCTTCTTTGCCATTTTTTTTTAATTTTAATAAAAAACTCAAATTTTTAATAAAATTAAATTAAAAACAAATTAATATTTGGATAGAAGAAACCAAATGGAATTATAAAATGTTGTAATTTACATTTCCGTTCCATCAATTCGATTTAATAATGTAAATATAATTTGGATTTGAAAAAATCTTTAAAAAATCAAAAAAAAAAATAAATGATGGGCAATTCGGAGGTAACTCTCACATTCAAGACAATTACAAAGAAGCAATTTCAGTTGCAATTGATGAGTAATGATACTGTACGTAACATTGAAATTATAGATGATTGGAATTGAATTTTAAAATTATTTCCGCCATACAACATATGATGATGCATTAATATTATTTTGAATTTGGATGTATTATTAATTTAATTGGATAATAATTATATTATTAGGTTCACACTGTTAGAACACGAGTTGCTGAACATCTTCAATATCAATTGGAAACAGTAAAGCTTGTCTATCAAGGAAAGGAATTAACTGATGATACGAGTGTTATTTCCGATTTGAATATTAATCCGAGTCTGGCAATAGTAGTAGTTGGAAAGAAGTTGCCAGCAACCAATAATCCTACATCTAATGCCACTAATGTTTCGGAAAATGTACAACAACCAACACAACAATCAAACAAACAGCCAACACTTACCAAGCAACAAGTTGCTCTTTCTAAAATTGAACAAATTCAACAGAAAGCAGAAACTCTGGAAAAGGAGGCACAAGCTTTGAAAGATAAAAAAGAGGAATTGGGTGAAAAGAAATATGATTATGAAAGGAAAAAAGTTGATGAATATTTAACTAGGTGTTTATTGGAATTGGACAATGTAGATGTTGATGGAGAAGAAGAATTAAGAATGAAGAGAAAGAATGCTATTCGTTTTATTCAATGTGTACAGAACTTTATTGAGTCCAGTCTGTAAGGAATAAATTTATGAGTATGACAGATGAACGAACAATTAGAAACTGCTTTGTACTTGGAAATAGATTGTAAAACTTTACAACTAGTTGTACACAATTAAGGCAATTAAAAATATTCAACTATCAAACCATTTTCAAGTTTCGAACTTGTGTACATGCTCAATTAAACCTTTCGTTTACAGAAAACAAACATGATTTGTCCAAAAACAATTTCTCTCAATATCCTGAGTTACAAAACTGAATGCCTAATTGGGCCTCATGCCGAATCAAACGAAAAAAAGGACATCACAACGAAGTAAATTCGAAACATTTCGGCCATAAATTCAACGTTATTCCTCCAACAACGATTTTCACAAACAACAAAAAAAATCAAATAACCATGACTACCCAAACTCTTTCTCAATTAGATCTCATTGTTTTAATTATTTTCGCAATCTTCATGCCACCAGTTACTGTTGCAGTTGTACGTATTAAATTATTATTCATATAGTTTAATGACATGTTTATTTGGTAAATATATGAAACTAAACTTTAGAAAAAATCAATTGGTCTTCACTTGTATATTTCGGCCATCCTAACCCTCTTTTAAGGAGTAATCTATGCATTCATTGTATTATTCGATATTCTTTAAATCATCAATTCACATGATTTTCAGCCATTCTGTTAAGCCCAAGTTTATTTGGCTTTCCAATAGAGATTCAATTCGATTAGCATTGAATCAAAATGTTTGTAAATAAAACAAATTATCCCCACAAAATCAAAATTAGTATCTTGTTCTCTAGACTAACCAACATAGAGGAGTGAAATTGGAATAGACAGAACTGTAGATTAGTGCAAATTCTCTCTTCTAAACACTTTACAAAGAGAGTTCAACCTTGAAAATGTCCCATCACAAAGTTGTGCAAAATAACACACAAGTTCCACTTCACTGTGCAGCTGCTAGGTGATGGAGAGAGGAAGTTGGGTAACAAAATCATCATTCAAAATTGCCTGCTGGAAATTTCTGCAGAGGAACTTGGCGACCATTGTTTTAAAAATAAATATTCAAATCATATTTAAAAAAAATTGGGTAATCACACTGCGAAAGGCAACACATTGATCAAAGAGAGAGGTAAGTGGCTATTTGTTTTGATGGATTGTTGTTGATGTTGGAATGACATTGTTAACATTTTGATGTTATATATGGATGTTTTGGTTTTATTGGAAATTTTTTTGATGATCAAAAACATTTATCATACAACAACAATAATCATCACGCTAATACTTTTGATCTTTGATACAACAACAACAATAACAACATCATCAAATGGATATATATTACAAATAATATATAGAAAATGTTGAGAATCCCAAAGAAAATTTTGGCACAGACCAATGAAATGCCTTTGGATGAGGCCAACAAGACTATTGAAATTCTCACATCAGCTATCGATGAGATCTACGAAGAAAGAGCTGCTGTTATGGATTATCAAAAGTTGTTTGAGTAAGTAGAATTGATCATATTGTATAATAACAATCCGATCATCATCAGTCTTGCATATAAATTAGTTACTAAAAAGTATGGTGAAAAACTCTATGATAAAGTCAGACAAACTATTTCTAAACATACAAAGGGCGTCTGTAATGACATTAATCAACAAAAGGAAATTACATTCCTTCCACACCTTTTGACTGTATGGAAAAAGTACAGAAAGGCTGCTTGTACTATTAGAGATTTGCTCTTGTTCTTGGATGAACAATGGGTTGAACGTCAATCAACTCACGACAACAAAATTAAGACCGTTTTCGAATTGGGTATCTTTATTTTCAGAGAAGAAGTTTTGATCAAATTGACTGATAGAGTTCAATCTATTATGCTATCGATAATTAGAAAGGAAAGAGACAATATTGAACCTGCTGACAAATTCTTGCTTCGTTCTCTCACCCAAATGATGGTGGAAATTGACAAGGAAAAGGTTTACATTCCTGTCTTTGAATCTAAATTCTTAAGTGAATCACATATTTACTACAAAATTGAAGCTGAGAAAATTTTCGATTCTTGTACAGCTGTAGATTATTTGAAGAAGATCCAACAACGTTTAAAGGAAGAAACTGATAGAGCTGATCGTTGTTTGGATCCAGAGACGAGGAATAAGATTGAAAATGTTGTTAAAGAAGAATTCATTACAAGATATAAGGATTCTGTTGTTAATAAGGAAGGTAGTGGTGTTTTGGTCATGTTGAAAGATAAGAAGGAAACTGAATTACGTCTTGTTTATGATGTTTTGGGTTTGGTTGAAGGTGCTTTAGAACCAACTATTAATATTTATCGTGAATATGTCACTGAACAAGGTTTGGCTATTGTCACAAGTGAAGAAAAGAATAATGATTATATTACTTTGGTTACTGAAATTATTCAATTGAGAGTTTACTATGATGAATTACTTTTACGTTCATTCAGTACTAGACAAGGTGCTGCTACTGTTGGTGGAGGTATCAGTAAGACCAGAAAGACAAATACTTTCATTAGAGATAAGGATTTCTCAAAGGCTACAAAGGATGCTTTTGATAGAGTTGTAAATCAAAACGAAAAATTCTCTGAATATCTTTCATTATTGTTGGATAAGAAACTCAAGAAGGGTAAACAACAAATTGAAGAAGAACAACTTGATACATTCTTTGATCAAGTTATTATGATTTTCAGACACGTCAAGGATAAGGATATTTTCGAAAAGTACTACAAGGAACATTTGGCTGTTCGTCTCTTGGAAGAAAGATGTGCATCTGATGATGCTGAAAAGTTGTTCTTATCCAAGTTGAAGACTGAATTTGGTGTTCAATTCACAACACGTCTTGAAAATATGTTCAAGGATATCAAGTTGAGTAAGGATTTGATGGGTCAATGGAATGAATATAGAACGAGACCACCTATTGATATGAATATTCAAGTTTTGACTCAAGGTTCATGGCCAGGTACTACTTCATACAAGATTGAATTCTCAGAACAAGATATTAACAAATCTATGAATGTTTTCAATGACTTTTATCAAGGTCAACACAATGGTAGAAAGTTAACTTGGCAATATCAATTGGGTAATGCCTCTATTATTATGAATGGTTTTACTCAAAAGTTTGAAATTACTGCTTCAACATTCCAAATGGCTGTTCTCCTCCTTTTCAATGACAATGAAAAACTCACATACAAGGAAATTGAAACATCAACAAAGATTCCAGCTGCTGAACTCAAGAAGAATCTTATCCAACTTACAAAGCCACTTGATGATGGTGAACAATATAAGAAGGTTGCTAAAGTTTTGACTGTCAAGGCTTCTGAAGATCAACAACAATCCACTGCAGAAGGTGATAAGAAGAAATTTACCATTTCAGCAACAACAATCTTTGCTACTAACAATTTGTTCAAGTCAAGAAAGTTGAAGATGAATGCCATGCCACCAATGACTAAGCAAACTGAAGAAGGTGCCTCCAAGATCAATCAACAAGTTGAAGAAGAACGTAAGATGGTCGTTGATGCTGTCATTGTTCGTATTATGAAGTCTAGAAAGGTCATGACTCACCGTGACTTGGTTTTGGAAGCTACTTCACAACTTCAACAAAGATTCATGCCTGCTCCTAATTTGATCAAGAAGAGAATTGAAAACTTGATTGAAAGAGAATATTTGGAAAGAGATGAAAACGACAGACAAACTTACAAGTATTTGGCTTAAACTATTGTAATTTATTTTCATTGTTCAATAAATAATTATTTAAATATCAAAACATTCAATGAGTGCATTGATTCAAGCAATTCTTGGAAATCTTTAAAAAATCCAAATTTAAAAAAATGATAAAAATCTCAGCTGCCCTTTTCACACTCCTACTTTTCTCGTTGCAGTTAATTTTATTAGTGGAGGAAAGGAAAAACAAATATTGTGAATGTGGATCGGAATATCATGCAAATTTCAAACATCTAGAATATGGAAATGTTTTAAATTTATTATCCCGAAGCCCAGAACTTAATCTACTCGGAAACTTCTCCCTCTCTCCTCAATACATCAAGTGGATGACAGAAATGAAACAGGAAATATTTGAGGATTTTGTACAATCATTTTCTAATGAGCAATGCTTGAATTTTCAACAAGAATTTTGGTATTTGCAATCTTTTGAAATTGTGAAGGGAAGTTTTTTATTTCACACTTATAATCAGGAAGAGGAAAGTCAAATGTACTTTCCAGCATCAAGGGATGGTCAATTTATGTGGGATTTAGTGAAGGTTTGGATGGGACTTTTATTTGAAACTCGTGTGAAAATGGGACATTTACCAAGGGAAGAAATTGAGTATTTACATGGTTTGAATTTTGATGATTCTGTTTTGAATTCAATTATGAATTCTAGAATTATTTATAATTTTCAACATTCTCCAAACAAATTGAATTGGTACATTACAGGAAAGAGATGGGAATTGAATATTTCACCATCCATGTTAAAGACAAAGACTGAACTTCCTAAAACAACAAGTTTGAAAATCATGTCATATAATATTCACAACTATGAAGGAAATTGGATTAAGAGATTGATGAAAATGATCAAAGTTATAGAAAGAAATCAACCAGATGTCATTTGTTTCCAAGAAGTTCGACTAGATGAAAAGAAGGATTTGAAAAAGCTCAATAATTTCCATGAATTTATATTTGAAGATGAATATCAACTCATTCACATCAAGAAGGCACTCTCACAATTGGGCTATATTCACTATCACTCAAGACCTGCCATGAGCTACGTGCAACCCTTCTACATGGACGTTCCACCAACAATGCAAGAGGAAGGTCTTGCAATCTTCTCCAAATATCCAATCATTGAGGCAGATTACACACTCCTCTACAGAGATTTATCAGATTCTTCCACTCACCAAAGAATTTGTGTGCGGGCAAGAATTTTAATTCCACACATGAACTCTTTCATCACTGCTGATATTTTCAATACTCATCTCTCATTGAAAGAACATGAGAGAAATCAAAATGTTTTGGATATTAATCGATTTGCAAATTTGAATGTGGAATCTAGTAGTAGCAGTAGTGGAAAGCCAACTATTCAAGTGGTTTGTGGAGATTTCAATTTGGAACCTCAAGAAGCAGCCTATTCCAACATGCTTATTGATGGAAAGTGGACTGATTCGTATATTTCTATGAGAAATTCACTCTCGCATACTTCAAAACTCTTAGACGAATTTACACTCGCCAATGAGCTCACATTCAGCACCAATGGTGATTACAAAAAGAGAATTGACTATATTCTATTCAGAGATTTCGGCTCCAGTATTGTAAACGTTTCGAATTTCATCATTGATGGAAAAGCAAGCGAATATCACTATGAAAATGATCCATACAAGGCACCAAGCGACCATCACGCCGTTGTAACAGAATTTACAATCACCAACTAATTTCACCAAGTAGTAGTTGATTGTAAACTGAAACTCTGATATTTGCAAAATATCTTTCCAAATCAATCCAAAGGCATGAAACTCAATTATTTCCAATATTCGATTATCATTATTGTAATCAAAAATTAGAGTTTTCAAAGAAAAACGAAAAAACTTTAAAAAAATGCAGCAACAACTGAAAGGACAAATTTGTTGCTCTTTGCATTTGTTTAAAATATCTCCACACAGAGGTAAGCACACATTTGATGATGATCATTTTCATGGTTCATTTGGTTCGGAATAAATTGGTTCCTTTTCTATGGTATGTGATGATGATGCCGATGATGATCATTATCATCCTTTTCATGATCATAAATGTACTATTCGAATTGGGAAAATTTAAAGGAATGAAAAGTAAAAGTGGAAAGTTAACAAAATGGGATTTTGTTGGTAGAATTGTGTTGGTTGTGGTGGGTGTGCTGATGATGATGTGTTTGCAGGAATCATTAGTTCATGCCAAGTCAATTGAAGAAGCAGAAAATTATCCATGTAGATTTGCACTTGAATATTCAATTGCTGATTTTTATAATAATTCGATAAGAGCACAACAGTTTTTGATGAATGTTAGTCATTGGGAAGGTAAATTTGCTACGCATGGAGTTGGACTCAATATGATTTCTGGATTGACCTATGATGGACATCAGATTGATTATGATACTTCAGAATTGCATGATCCACTTCATGATTTCTCAGCTGCTTCAAAAGAATCACTTCATTTGGATATGATTGCTTTGGGATTGAATGGTGATAAAATTGCAATGAATTTCTTCAAGTCTTCAATGGAATCACAATCGAATGTGAGATTTGCCTTTTCTGCCAAGAAGAATCAACAATTATTGAGATCCTACGAATCAATCAAGGATTCACAAGATAATAGAGTGCAACAATTCATTCTCTCCTCACTCAGAGCCAAGCTGCAAAGTTATGAAAAGTTTGATAATCAATATCCTGGCTTTGGTGGATTGTTGCCATGGTTCACTGTGAGTGATGAAGGTGCTGGACTATTGGATGGATGGACAGATAGAGTTCCATCTCTAGACAATGGACAAATGATTTGGGGTTTGATTGCTGTTGAACAAGTTTTGAGACAACAACAAATTGGACTCGATCTTGCAGATATTATTGCTGCTAGAATTAAGAAACTCACTCAAACAGTTCTTCCAATATTTTACGATGGTAATGGACATGTGAGATGTGTTGCCAAGATTAAGAATATTTATGGTAGTCCATATAATCCAAATAATTATCAAAGTGATGGTTCCTGTTATTTAAATGATCCTTATGAAGGAGAATTGATGGATTTCTTTATTGATTTGAAAGCTGACTGGGCTGCATCTGGTTATTCACTTGATGAGAGAAATAAGATTTGGTTAGCCAAGAGATCCCAGACTCGTGCTGTTAAATACAAGTCGAAACTCTATGGAGATATTCTTGTTGAACAAGGTTTTTGGTATAGTTCACATGAAAAGTGGAAGTATCTCATGTTGCCATATCAATCCGTCCCTGTCAATAATAGAATTTTCTTGAATGGTGAAAGGGCTAGACTTGTTAACAGTATTGAAAATGGAATTCCTGGATTGTTTGCCAGTGTAACAGTTCCAGTTAAAAGAGGAGATTATTCACCTCCATACTCATCTGCTTGTGGTATTGCACAAATAGCCAGTCAACCAATCGAATATACAACCATTGTAACTCCATATGGATCATTCCCACCTGTACTTGCTGATCAAAATATTGGACTCATGTGGTATTTGACAACCATTCAAGGAGCCAAAATGCAAGGAGTTTATGGAAGCACTGAAAGTACAAACATTACAGGATCTGCAAT